GTCACAAATTACTTTGTCAAGTTAACTGCCAGATGCAGCTCAGCCTACTTGCCATAAGGAGGAGTTTAATTATTAAGAGTAGGAGTGATTTGCTTCGGGAGCATTTAATTGAAAGATTAAAAGAAGCTCACTCTGAGGCTGTCTGAAGCATTTGAAGATTTTAGTGACAGGATGTATTATGTAAGGATTTTCCATAAAAACATGTTTGCCTTTACTGTGAAGAAATTTATTTTGAACATCAGGTAAAATTCTTGAAAACACTTGTTTTTCAGTATTTTCTCTAATTATATCTCACACTCCAATTTGTACTCAGAGCTTCAAAAATCGTTGTTCTCATAAAGGTATTTTGCCTTGAAAGATGTCACTAAATTGCTTAAGGAACTGCAATACATTAACATACATGTAAAACAGAAATGTAAGGAAATAGGAATCCCAGTTAGGTGAATATTCATTTGGTAGGGGGTTGGACACATTGTGGACGCCTGCTTTGTGTCTGGAAAATGCAAAGAAATTCACATCTGTCATCATGGCCTACTGAAGCATGTTATTTTAAGATGAGAGTGTGTACTTAGGAAGCTGATGCTTTATAGTGCTTGCCTTTTCTGTGAGGCTTCCCTTTATCCCATATGGCTTTTTAAGAATGAGGAATCATAAACCTAGCACAACATGGTGCACTTCTGAATTCATCAAAGACGGGCATGGAAACCCTGCGGGCTTCCGTCGGACTGCCATATGTTATTATAAAATGCATGCTTTTCTTTCTTGGTGAATGCTGAACATCCTCACAGAACAAAAATGATGTGTGGTAGTCAGTCTCTTGAAATAACTCCCAACTGCTATGTTGCTATCAGTGAACTAATGGGAAGATTTAAAGGCATTTAAAATTTAGATTTGAAAGTGTCTAACTGATTCCAAGTACCTGTGAAAAATCATGAAGCCTCTGGGTGTCCTTGTATTCTTGAAAAGGTTCTTTCAGACATTGAAAAGCTCCAGACTGGAACTGTGAACACCTGGTTGAAGTAATTTTGTCAGGTTTGGTGCAGCCATACCTATTGTGCTCCAGTGTCTGTATGCAAAAGATGTGTGAGAGAACTGCAGGCTTATTCCCTGTTTGTTGGTCTGTCAGTCCTTTATTCTGAAGTCTGTAACATTTGCAGCTATTTAGGGAGAAGCAAATGGTGCATGAAAGGCTGTGAGGTGCATATACCTTTTTGCTTTGGAACCTCTTCTGATGGTGTAGCCCTAAATAAATTTCAGGAGCTTTGCTGAGATGAGTACTTGAAGATAAGGAGGTAATTAATTCTCCTTACTGGCTTGTATTGACAGTATCACATTTTACATTTAGCCTGTTGTCTTTAGGAAATGGAATAAAGAGCTGTGAATCTAAAGTTGAGGGGAATTTCCAAGTGGAATTCTTTTTGTAGTCTCACTTTATTTTAGTCTCACTGAAGAGTAAAGTGCAGGGGAAGGAGGGGTGGGGTGAAAGGGTGTGAAGTGTTACTTTCCCTTTACCTATAAAGTTTTCTTTATCTTGGGTTGGATAACTGTGCTTGGTTCATTATCAAACTCTCCTATGGGAGTCCTCCTGGACTGGTGAGGACTTCTCCCCTTGCCTTAGAACTAGGAGGCACTTACTGCCTCAAAGCAGGAGGAAGGTTTATTTCAAAATCCTCTGCCAAGTTTTTTGAGCCACGAGTCTGACATTTAATAGTTCAGGAAAAAATTCCTTCCTTACTATGACCAGTATTTCTGAAACTTCTTTGCTTCTGAGCAACATGAAAAACTGAGGTATAAAATAACTTGTGCCTGGAGTGGTATCTGCTGTGCTTTTATGCCTCTTGCCCACTTTGTCTCTTTTCTTTCCTTTGCTAATTCTTCTGTGCTTTTCATTAAAGGAAAGCTCAAATTCTACACTGTTGGTTCACTCCCTGAGTGAATTTATCATCTCTGTTCTTTCCTGTGGTGAAGATTTTGGACTAAGTGTATTTATGACAGCACACCAGACTAGGATGGAGAAATCAGACTAGACATTAAATCAGGCTTGTCCTTAAATTTCAAGAGCACGTTTGGAATCCCAGAATATCTTCAATAGTGTCGATTCAAAGTGAAAAATTATCAGCTAGGCTTATAATTTGTTGTGGGGGTTTAGGGCTATTGAGTCTTCTCTTGGCTTTTGTCTTAAAAACCTCCCAGACATCCAGGTAATTAACCATACTCCATCTAGTATTAATTTGAATTGTTTTTGCTGTGCAATTGAGGCAAACTACTGCATGATAGAATATTCTGCAGAACTGAAGATGATTAAATATCCATCAGCTGTTTTTTTGGATTTGGTAGGGTTCCATAGGTATGCTTGTGAAATGCTTTTCACTTATTCTTTAGGTTGTGGCTTTGTAGTTTGTTCTGAGGTTGTTCTCCGAGGAAGGAGGTGACCAGTGTTGTCAATCTATGAATCTAAATGTTTAATTTTATGAGATGAGAATTAGATTGAAAATAAATCTGGATTCTTTTTAGAGTGGGTTAATTTTTATTGGAGTTGACGTGTGGTCCTACTCTGTTTCTCAGTCCCAAAAGAGCAATTGGCACTCAGTCGGCTCTTAAGAGAGAGATCAAGTGTTCTTGGAGCCAGCACATGGGACATTTGAAGCACAAGCAGCCTGTTTACTTCTCTCAAGAAAAGGCCTTTAAAATGCCTTCATGCTTAAATATCCTAAAAAGGCATATTTAAGAGAAGTACTCCGATTAAGGGACCGATCAGCCTGGGTTGTTGAGAAAATGTACACTGAGAAAACCTTTTTGATTTGAAAAACTGGGCTTTCATCTGAACAAAATGAAAAAAAAACATTTGAATGGGTGCCTGCAAACTCTGAAGACATGTATCTGAAATTTGATTCCATGTTAGACTAGAATTAAGTACAGATTATGCAAGTTGGGTTTGTTATGTTTGACAACTATACTTTCTTCTTACTTAAGATACAGTATAGATCATAACTTGTAATACAGAGATTATTCTTCTGATATGATTGTATTTTAATAATATGATATTTTTTTGTTCATAGCCATTAGAATTTAATTATTAGAACTTTGAGGTGATTAATTGTCATTGCAAGGGAAACCTTTCTGCACGGAACACCCTGTAAGTACAGGGATAGGTCCTTTAACCCCTCAAGTGATAGTAATTTTTTCATTGCAAGGCAAAAATCTAAAGGCTGAGTATTGTGCAGATTAAACTTCTTGCAATAAACCAAACATGAACAAAAAAAAAAATTAAAAAAAATTAACCCCTTTACCTTTCTAAAATAACAGTTGCATTCAAAAGCTGAAAATTATATTGTCTGTCATTGGTCTGGTTTAATATTTAGTAATTTTTATTATTAATAATAATAGAATGTATTTTATTAATTAAATATTCATTAATAGTTAATAATTTAGTAACAAATAAATATAGAACTCTGACTTTGTATTGCATAAAGTAGCTCTAAAAGCAACACCTCTCAGTTCTTGGACAGTGTAAGTGAAGTGTTTGGTTTTTTTCTGCTTTCTTTTTTTTTTTTTTAATTGATGCATAGGCACAGATAATAGAATTCCATTAAACTCCTGTATAATAAAACTGAAATATGAAGTAGGAATGCATTGACTCGTGCCTAGCTGTGGAAACCAGTCCTGTTAATTACATGTCTGAGATTCCAGCTATGTCATGGTTATCTTTGCACTTCCTGCTTTGTAACCTCGTGCATGCCTTTATTTTGATTTTTAATTATTTTAAAACTTGTATTAGACAGAAAAGCAGAATCATGCTAATCCAGCTGGTATGAAACTGTAAACTAAAGAATTGTTTTCCCTGAAAACATTTGATTCCTCTCTTTATCTAGAAGTGCTTCCTTTACTTATGTGAGCCTTTTAATACATTTTGTAGCAACGTGAAAGTTTAACTATTTGATAGATTCGAAGAAGCAAAAATTGCTCATATGCTCCCTCAATTTTTACTTGCATTGATACAATTTAAGTTTTAGCAGTTTATTGAACTAGTCAGTGCAGTTTTATAATGGCTACTACAGTGGGAATTTGCTACCTTATTAAAATTCAACTTTGAATAAACAATTTATGTATCCTTCTTCCACTTTCTGTTCTTTGCTGGTGCTTGGTACATCAGAATTAATGTAATAGTTGCTATTAGTTAATGCCAAGGTCTGCGTAAGGCCACTGTGGTGATGGTCGATCATCATGCATGGTAGAATTTTGGTGCATTTGGCATGTACTTTCTAGAAGGGAAAGAACACAGATTTAGCAATTTGATATGGTGCCAGCTGAGCCATCAGATATGTGCAAATCATGAGCCTTCAGTAATGAATGCAAATGAAAGTGTTCTATTTTTTGACTTGGAATCCTGCTCTACAGTGACTGCAGTTTGTGATCAGAGTGCACAGGACTAATACATCGTGTACTACTATCAGCTGAATTTTCTTTGCAGTGAGCTTTCTGCTCTTGCAGTTCTTTAGTATTTTGTGTTCAGTAGTACCACCTATTTGGAATTTGTTCTGCAATGTGATTGCTATCCCTTTATTATCTGTTTATGAAACTATGATTGTATGATATGAGAATTCCTTTTATTTACCTCTACTGTTCTTTGTTTTGTTCAGACTTTCAGAAAGGAGACTGGGAAATGAGGTGGCTTTACTTGCCCCTGCACTGACATAAACTAAATGTGGATGATAAAAGAAAAAATGGAAATATTAAGTTAGTGGGATGAAAGAAATAAATGGAAGCCAAAACTATTTCAGCCTATTTTTTGTGGCTCCTTCCTGAATAAAAAAGTTGCTTTGCACACACAAGCCTTTCACTTTTTTTTGTACAATTACTCTTTTATGGTTAAATTTGATATCTATGACCTGGTGATTACATGCAATGAAATACATGTACACAATACAGGAATTTAAACCCTTTTGCTTGGGAGCATTTCTGTTGTGTTGATTTGATTGTTTTTGTCCTCCTCACTTTAGATCCCTGCAGTTCACTCAGCCCACCGTGCTTTACTGAGGAGGACCGGTTCAGCCTAGAAGCTCTCCGCATGATCCATAAGCAAATGGATGATGACAAAGATGGTGGTATCGAAGTAGATGAAAGTGATGAGGTAGGAGTAAAAGAAACTTGAGTTATGCATACATGAAGTATTTTTTATCTTTTTGTTTTGTATAGCTGCTCTTAATCTTTCAGCACTTGAGTAGTTGTTGCTGTTCTTCTTAATTCAGCCCTTTCCTCAGATGAATATGGAAGGAAAGTCTAATTTCTGTATTTGTCTGAAATAGGATTTTACTGTCCATTGTTCTAGCCTAAAGGAAAGTTTTGTGTGACTATGTATAGAAGGTGCTACTTTTGTGATTGGTGTAAGAGGTGGGTAAAGGTGAAAGGTTTAGCTTGCAGTATGACAGTGATGTGATCCATTGCTTAATGTTATGGTTTCTTCACTCAAAATTTTCTTGGCTAAGGCATAACTGGGCTATTGTATTTATCTTAGATCTGTTGCAGGCACTTCATGGTGTAAAACAATACCTATTACAGAGAGCAGTCTGGAAGAAATATTTTTGGTTTGGTTTGCATTTTACAGACAAGCATTAAAAACAATGTGCTTACTAATGGTAAATTAAGTCCTACAACCTAAGGAAGTTTTTTGTGACAATGCTTGAATGAGCATTGGGAGCCTACCATTGCTAGGTAGGCTCCCAATGGTCCTGGCAAAGGACTTGCCGTTGCATTTACTCAAATTTACCATTGGGATTCTCAGAATTACTGGGTAGGAATGGAAATGTCTATGGAGTTTCATTGTGCTTGCTTATTTTGCTCTCTGGCTGTTAGCACACACTTGACAACCAAGGGGGAGTGAAGATGCTCTCTAAAAATGAGGATATTGTCATGTGGTTCTGACACCCATTCGTACTGTAAATGAATGGGAGAAGAATCTAACCCTATTTTGTCATCCTTTTTTATAATATCTAGGGGAAGATTCTTCTCCCTGAATGAGTTATGCATTATCGTTGTCAAATTTAATGTGATACTACTTACTTTTCTGTGTGCCTATGTGCAAACAGCATCAACAGGCCCCATAACCTGACCCTGAACTCTTCCAGGGACTGGGTTACCCAGAAAGTCTCTGCGCAGCCTGTTCCACTGCCTCTCTACCCTCTGAGTAAAGAATTGTTCCTAACATGTAGTCTAAAGCTTTCCTGTTTTAGTTTAAAACCATTTTCCCTTGTTCTGTCACTATCTGCCTGTGTAAAAGGTTGCTCTCCCTCTATTTTATACCCCTCCTATATGTACTGAAGGTCACAATAAGATCTTGGAACCTTCTCCAGGCTGAACAGCCCAGCTCTCTCAGCCTGTCTTAAGGTAGGTGCTCCAGTGCTCTGATCATCTTGGTTGGCTGGACTTGTTCCAACAGGTCAGTGTCTTTCTTGTGCTGAGGAGCTGGAGGCAGCATTCCAGGTGGGATCTCACAAGAGCAGAATAGAGGGGCAGAATCACCTCCCTCAACCTGCAGGCCACTCCTCTTTCAGTATAGCCCAGGATGCAGCTGGCTTTTTGGCCTGTGAGTGCACACTGTTGGCTCATGTTCAGCTTTCCATCCACCAGCACCCCCAAGTCCTTCTTGGTAGGGCTGCTCTCAATGACTTCTCCCAGTCTGTGATCATGTGTGCATTGCTCCAGTGCAGGTGCAACACCTTGTCCTTGGACTTCATGATGTTCTCATGGGCCCACTTGTTAGGTTTAGCCAGATCCCTCTGGATGACAGCTCTTCCTTTTTCTAGTTCATCTGTGCTGTTCAGCTTCATGTCATCTGCAAACTTGCTGAGGATGCACTTGATCTCACTGTCTGTGTTGTTGATGAAGGTATAAAAGAGTCCCTGTCCCAAGAGAGAGCCCTGAAGGGCACCACTCATCACTGGCTTCCAGCTGGACATAGAATGATTGACAGCTGTGTCCATTCAGGCAGTTCCTTATTCATCAAATCATCCATCCTTCTAATCAGTATCTTTCCAGTCTGGGGATAAGGATGTTATGTGCCACCGTGTCAAAGGTCTTTCAGTGGTCTAGGTAGATGACATTTGTTTGGTCTTCCCTTATCAACCATAGAGGCACCCCATCATAGAAAGCCACCAGATCAGTCAGACACTGTTTTCCCTTAGTAAAGCCAGGCTGGATTGTCTCAGATCACTTCATCGTATGTGCTGTAAGATTGCTTCCATGAGGAGGATCTGCTCCATGATCTTCCAAAACACAGAGGTGTGAGGCTCAATGGTCTCTATTTTCTCAGGTCTTTGTTTCTTCTCTTTTTCAGTAAGACTGATGTTTCCTTTTCCCCAATCACTAGGGAATTCACCTGACTGCCCTGACTTTTCAAAAGTAACACATAGTTTGCCTTTGTTATTGCAGAATGTTTGCAGCATGCACAGTTCAGTATGCAAAGCGAAACATTAGTGATGGAGTGTGAGCTTCCTGAGGAACTTCCCAGTGCTTTGATTGTTTCTCTTGACTTATACTGCATTTTTTTTTACACCAAAGTTGAGGAAGTTGAAAGAAAATACTGAAACATATATATATAGGAAATATTTTATTAGTATTCAGAAGATTTGCCCTGGTTTCCAGTGCACCATCTTTATATCTGACCTTGTTTCTTCCTGTTCAGAGAAAGCAAGAGAAACTATGCTAAAGACCTGTTTAAATGGCTGAAATTATAATAGTTGATGAGGCATGTTGTTCAAGTGGGGTAATTAGAGATAGGTGAAACTATATGTTCAAACTACACATTGTGCATAAAGTAAGATGACTTAATTGTAGCCTTGTTTCTGCTAGTTCACTTTTAATTATTGAAGAAATATTTAATAACCCACATTCTGCAAAGTAGCACTTTTTACATATAATTTCCACGCAAATCAGTGATGAATATGTATTTGCATAGAGTACTTTCTTCTAGGACATTAAATGCAAACCTGAAATTAATGAGAAATGCAGTTTAATTGCAAGTTCAGCTACTAACCTCTGTTTTTCTTGTAGTGCTTTTACTAAATCTTTACCATTATCTTAAAAGATCTACATTTACACAACACAGTTATGTAATTACCAGTAGGTCTGAATATGTACTGAATATGTCCTATTTATATTTCAGAACCAGATTCTTTTTTGTTCTGTCACAGTAGGTAATTCTGCTTATTCTGATTAAGAAGGAGGACTGATAATTAAAAAACCCACTTTATTAGAAGTAAAGCTTACATGAAATACAGGGGTTTTACTTAACAGCAGGGAATGGATTTTCTGTTTTGTGCTGCATGGTTTTTACTTGCAAGACTCCTGAAGAGCAGCATATTGAGTATGTGGTTTAGATGTTCATTAGCTTTTTACTTGGCAGGAAGACTGTGACAAGGTAGAATAACTTTCTGCTGTTTTACCAGCACTACAACAGTGTTGCAAGGGTATATTTACACCAAGGAAGGAAGTTCTTGTAAATAAGTTATTTTGAGACAGGAAGGTAAAAAGAGCTAAAGATGCTGAACTATTTATTTTAATTTCCTAATCCAGTTAACTCCCAACAGTGATTCCAGACATTTCATCTACATGCAGTTTATTTTTCCTAATGTTTTCATGCCCTGTTTTAGGTTGTAGCTTGTTTTTCCTCTGTAAATTGAAAGACCACATAAAACCATTCTGTAAAGAAGAAATTTTTCTAGGATATTAGAAAATTTGAATGAAGATATTTCTTATTTCCTCAAAAACTGTCTGATACTGGGAGACCTTTGGATGTACTTTGTATGGACTGGAAAGAAACTTGTGTTTGACTTTGCTAAAGTTGATGTGAGGAAACCTGATCTAAATTTTTAGCATGGGATTTAATAGTCAGCTAACCATGAGGGATTTTGTTGAAGTCTTCTAAGAAAGTTAGAGGGGTTCTAGTCTGAGCATGGAGTAGTTACATTTTCTTTATTATTTGCTATGGTACAGCAGGAAAAAGGAAGAAAAAAAAGCTCTCTATACTTACTCTGAAGGCAAGCTAATATGAATTTTACTATCAGACTTGCTGCTGATATTATTACTTTATATGTAATATAAAGTAATAACTTTATACTCGATAGGCTTTCTGTGTAAGGATTGTGGTTGTTTAAGCTAGTTTCAAGAGGTAGGCTGTAAACGGGTAACTGAAAGGGAGAACGTGGTATTACTAACTGAGGTTTTAGTCATGTGTTGTGGGAGGCTGTCTGCCTCAGGAAGCATCTGTTGCACCATGGGAGCATGTTTTGTTTTCATGATGAGACACAAGCAGTAAAGCAGACTTATCATATGTTCACTATTTACATAGGTTTTTCCTGTTTCCAAAGAACTTCCCTAAGCAGATCCTACATAAAGTAATTTCCTCAAGGAATCTCTCTGCAGTGTTAGAATAAGTAGATGTTTTTGAAGTGTTAGTATCTTACTGTATGTCTGTCTCACCAAGCCAAAGACACAAATGTACAGTTTTGCATGGGATCTCTGGGTAGATCGCTTCATATTTTGCTCAAGTTTTATTAAGGAGGTAACTGGAATTTTCACCTTATAAAAACTGCAAACTGAAAAAACCCCATAGAAAACCA